GGAAGAGATAATAATGTGTTTAGGGACAGTGAGTCAACACTACAGTGATCATGTGATGTGAGATATAACGCCAAATATTTGCAAGTGTATACATATATACAGCACAGTCCCTTAACAAAAGAGAAAATAAAAGCCTGAATCATCCATTGAGCTTGAATCATCCAACACATGCTCTCTGAGTGTTGATACTGTCGGGAGTCATAGTGCATGTTTAACATTGTTCGCACTCAGCATTGCTTCTTGATATCTTTCACTAACAACCTGTAACAAGAGTTGTTTTCCAATATATGGTATCATCCATAATCTAGATTTATCTTATCTGCACACTTTGCTATTTTTATACATGTAAACTTTCCCCAACAGGTCTGTTTAGTATTTAGTTCTTATCTTTCAGTCTTTGTGCACCTCACCTCTATGGCATATATACACTGATTAATACTGGTCAATAAAATGTATTTTTAACATGCATCAATGCACAGGACATTGAACTAATAGAATACCTGATAAATACAAGTCTGCAGACAAGGCCGAATGAACGTATGTTACATGGTACTGTGATCAGCCCAAACTTGTAACGACATCAGAGATTTTGTCAATGAATGAACCTTGACCAGACCTGAGTCTTATCATGTCTTGGAGGGAGTGGATCGCCACTCCGCTCGAGGTGGACAAATCATGTTTTACTGGCCCTGTGTATTCTTACAGAACTTAATTAGCATAAATACGTATTGTGGTCAAAGCAAATACTTACATTACCTTTTGAGGCAACATTTTCCATGTCTCCGGGTTTAAAATCGCGGATCTACGAAGGACATGGTGGACGGGAAACAAGCGCATTAAGCAGCAGGATGTGAGATGTTATGGAAATACCTAAACTATAAATAGATTTGCGGGAAATTCGTCAAAATGTCCTTTCGTTATCATTGTCATGGGGTGCTGCGGTGAGACAAAGTTCTCACATCAGAGACTCCAATGTAAATGGAGTCTAGTTGAGAAAACATGTACTGGCAGAAGACTATATTGCTGCAAGTCAGATACTTCAAGTTAATTCGGGGTCGTCTCAAAAACGTCATTTCAAATTATGCGTGGGCTGACGTGCAATTGTTAACACATACCGACTTATATGAACGTGTTATTTTGAATGTCTGTACTGTCATGAGCAAGATTGGACCGGGCTTTTTTTTCAAAAGGATGATGTGTCGATCTTTGACCTCATGAAACCATAATAGTGGAATTCGATATAATCTATGAGAGATTTCGTTGAATAACTACGCATCAAGATCTATCGGAAGATCGGTATTTGTGTTATATTCACATCCGGTATATAGTCAGAGACATTTTCTTTCATTTAGAAATTTCCAAACTATATATCAGTCACTGTGTCAAGCGTGTTTCCCGCGGAGAAAAACATAAACGTGATTCCATTAACATTACTCATGTGTCACATGAATATCGATTCATGTCACACATTAATTAGTTGTAAAAATATGAAACCAAAACCACACTGCTTCATCGGAATGTGTACTTTTCCACAATTGGTATATACCTGGGTATATTTACGGCCTTTGCATGTGACTTGTAATTATGAAAAAAACATTTACATCAGGGACCGTTCATAATTTATGGCTAGGGGCTGATGATGATTTTAACGGGGGTCACCCATTTTGTTCTGGTGAGGTAGGGGGTCATCAATTTTTACACATGCACTAGGGGGTTACAATTTTGTACACAACATTATTAAAAAAATTATGCTTAAAAAATATGGGAAGGGAGGGGTCTTTCATTTTGTACATGACATGCAGGGGGTCACTTACTTTGTACATAAATTTTAGGGGGTGGGGGTTTCCACTCACATTGTACATGTTTCTCCATAAAAATCATCATCACACACCACCACACACACACACACACACACACACACACACACACACACCCATCCCATCCCCCAGTGAAGGAGACAGTAAAAGTTCAGCACTTTGATGAACACACCGAGTACGAATGCATAATGGTACTGGACCCGTGAAGACTAGAAGGTTAGAATTGGTCTCAGAAACCAATGCTTGTGGTAAGATGTGACTGTCGGGATCGGGTGGTCAGGCTCGCTGATCTGGTTGACACGTGTCATCGTATCCCATTTGCGTATAGACTGATGCTCATACTGTTGATCACTGGATTGTCTGGTCCAGATAGTGTTTGCAGACCGCCGCCATATAGCTGGAAGATTCCAAAGTGTGGCGTTAAGCAACAAACTAACCAACCAACAGCATATGGTACTGACCAAACCAACAGCATATGGTACTGACCAAACCAAGGATCAGCAGGTACTTTATTCTGTCTCCAAGTCCTTTAACCATATAACGTCCACTCAGCCCTTTCCTGGGTGCTAAGTCTCGATTTCCTGGGGTGGGGGTTATGAAATGAGATGGGGTGAGTTTGCAACGTTTACACTTTATATACAAGGTCAGATATCATGCAATCCAAACATTCGCTGGAAAGATGGCCAGCATGTCTGATGAACAGTAAATCTATCATCCCATACCATTCAGGCATCTGGTATAGTTCAAAGTTCCACAGCTCAAAGGGCCTTCCCTTTAGCAGAATCATAACTGGTTTGAAATGGCATTTTAAAGATAATGTTAAGCAACTTTACATGTTAACATTATATCCTAAATGATATACGGCATTTTTGCATATGCAGTATAGAGACGGTCGTATCACATTGGGTGTAATAACCAAACCCGTATTACCCTACCGGGTGGACGTGTTTTGTCAAGGCATTTATTGGACGATCAAATATCAGTTCGGGTGGCTGGAAGTTGGAGTTACATCCTTTGGTACTTCGTCCGCTCGTCTCACTCTCCCGGGACAATAATTTCCAAACAAGGTTAAAATGCGTTGCATTTCCTTGAAAATTAATTACAGTTTGATATTATTGTATATGATAACAGGGGATATTATAAAGCATTTTTATATCATACCCATGTGAACCATGTCGTCACGCCGAAGACCCGGGTTCGAGTCACCACATGGGCACAATGTGTGAAGCCCATTTCTGGTGTCCCCCGCCGTCATATGGCTGGAATATTGCTAAAAGCGGCGTAAAACCATACTCACTCACTACTTGATTTCCAGGGATATGTTTGCAACCGCATCCTCGATAATCTCCAGGGAATACATTCCGATAAATATCCACTACTAGTGGAACGTATACGTATACCCTGGAGATTATCGAGGATGTTGCAACCGGAGATGTTTGTATTCCCGCTCCGCATCAAACAGCTGCATCATGCGTGTATGGATAACTCCAAACAACTGGTTACCATTGGGTAATCTCCAAATTTCGCTGATGGTCGCGAACAATAAATGTTGTCATCGGTCGTCAGGATTAAGATCTGGTAAAAGACGGCCAAAGACATTGTCGGAACCAAAACCCTACGCTTCAGGACGCCTCAAACATAACATGAGGACCACGAGTAGTGGATCATTGTTTATCTTGACACTTCAGTTTCAGTGAAATGTCGTCAAAAAGGCTCGGTGCCATTAGTATTGCTGATAATCATTATCCACAGAAACATGTTACATTGTCTACTCCTGCTTTTAGTCACGATAGGGGGCGGTGGGGTAGCCTAGTGGTTAAAGCGTTGGCTCGTCACGCCGAGCATCCGGGTTCGATTCCCCACATGGGCACAATGTGTTAAGCCCATTTCTGGTGTCCCCCGCCGTGATATTGCTGGAATATTGCTAAAAGCGGCGTAAAACTTAACTCAGTCAGTCAGTTTTAGTCACGATATGGCTGAGATATTGCCGATGTGACGTTAAATATTAACTCACTCACCCACTCTTGCTTTTAAGCAGTATTTGTAAGTGTTTTTGGGGGAATGCGTTATCTACAATGGTGTTCAGGGAGTAGTAGGTTGGAAAATCGCCGATGTTCTCGTGAACTGTTTTCAGATGAAACAAAATACACCCTGAGCCTTCTAGATGGGCACTGGCGTGTCTGGAGGGGTCATGACGAACGTCAGCGTGAGGTAACATGGCCGATTTGGGAGTTGGTCTGCAATGACGTAAGGCGTAATTCACTGTGTACGCCTACGCCAACGCCTACGCCAACGTCCTAAAAGGCGACCCGCTACGTCAGTCGAGATGGGTCAGAAGCTGCAGAAGGAGTTGACAAAGCCTCCATCAAATCGTCATTGGTGGGACCGTGCCGAGCCCTATAAACAAATGTTTGACCAATCGATACCTCTTTGAATTTGTGTATTCATTGGTCATGCTTTTTTAAAATATATCTCCCACTGTCTTTTTTAGGAAATATGTGCATCCACGCTCGGTAGGCGTGGTTAGCAGAATGGAAGTGTTTTTGGTTTAGGAGCAATTTAGTGGTAGTTATCTTTTCCTGAGAGAAAGCAGAATTCATTCATCACACGTTTTACAAGTACATATCTTAATATGGACAGTAATATAGATATATAAGAAAAGCAAGATTTATGGATGTCAACTTCTTTATAGTGAATAACACGACGTTTCGGAGTGTATGCTTGTTCCTTCATCAGGTGAGCTAGCATACACTCCGAAACGTCGTGTTATTCACTATAAAGACTGTGAGGCGATATTAGATATAGATCTAGTCCACTGCAATTGTTTCTGATGGAAAATTAACCTAACAAACTTAAAGTGTTTGAAGTTTAATAGTGTACTAAATATAAATTTTTAAGCGGTTCAATGTTAGTTCCTTTGAGGAGTTTAGGCTAAAATGTCACCGTGCCAAAATGTCATCAAATTTGGTCTTATACAACTGAATTTCTTTAATGTACGACCATAAATTATTCATGCTGTATAATTGAGAACCATATCCCTTAAATCAACGAAAGAATATATTTAATTTCTTTTATATTCGTGCTTGTTTTTTATGCGTGTGCTAAATCCAGTTTTGTGGTTTTGAAACGACCCCTCGAGTCTGCGCGGATCTGGAGCCGGAAGTAAAACTTTCAAGGGAGATAATTACAAGAACTATCGAGAAGGAAGACTGAAAATGGCCTGAATGTTGACGACGGAAACGTGAAGCTCGAAATTACATAACAATGTACGTGCGATGGACTGCCAATGGTTTAAACAAACAATATAAGTAGAGTAATATTGAGTGTGTCAGAATTCCAGGGCAAAATAAACAACGAACAATGACGATGAGACGAAAGACATTTGGCGGGTTGTCACTACAGTTATTGTTGTCGTCTGTTTACCATGCAAGGAACCTAAGCAAGAATATTTATTGAACTGTTATAGTGGCCTTCATCCTGTTTCTTTGGCAATATAGGTGAACATACACATTTTCAATTATAGTAGGTCAGTTTAAGGGAAATGTAATTTATTAATTTGTAACTCACCGAACTGCGACCAAGTCTGTGATTTTATGCTGTTTACAGGAAGACAGTAAATATTTTGAAACTGATTCCAGTATTTATGGCAGAAGTTAATTTTTACTTGTGCTTCTTTGATTGATTTTGTATAAGTGAGTTGTTTTTCCAGATGATATATATTGCAGTGGTACTGAAAACTGTATTTATTATAGTCATTGGAAGTTACTATGCACAAAACAATGAAAACAATGCTGTTGTTTTAGTGACAGTCTTAGTGATCTCTGTTTCAAACTGATAGGTTTCTAAGATTTGATCATAAGTATGTGTTTTGAAGCTTTATTCTGATTATGTGTCCTTCCGTTATCTATGGGCATAAAAAATGAAAAATCAAATTATACTGTGAAATGTTTGTTTCATTTACAATATTATGATTGTGTCCAGTTATTGTCCACGAGTTTTGAGGTGGGATTTTCAATTACAATCGATTATGGATTTATTACTCAGCTCCAATTATCAATCTGTATATTGTGAGCGATAACCAGCACTACCAAGAAGTAACATCTTGAAAACTTTCACAAAATCACAATTAAGAATGACCAATCCAAAATATATGTCATTATGCCACTCATGCCATGTGTGAAAGAAGCACCTGCCCAGTAGTCCATGGCTACCTTCGATTATTTCGGGCAAGTGAAACAAAAATGTAGGTAGCCCAACTGACAAGTTTCGTTTTCTGTCAAGTGAGCTACTTTATGTAAACCTTCCTTCTCCATATACAGATGTATATGCATAAAATTTGTGTATCTATTAACAGTGAGCAAAATTTGAATTTTTCGCACACTCATAATAACTGGAGATGAAGAACTTATCAACAATAAAAATGTTTCAATTTCCCACAGGATATTGTTTATCATAGCAGATTCATTTTGGCTTAGTGAATACATTCCTAATTGTTTATAAACAGATATGGTGTATGAGGAAAAAGTTGCCTTCCTTAGTTTGACACATTTACCATATCAAGTTCATTGACACTATAACAATTTTATCTATCCCTGTTTGATGATAACTTAAGGTGGCGGTGGGGTAGCCTAGTGGTTAAAGCGTTCGCTCGTCACGCTGAAGGCCCGGGTTCGATTCCTCACATGGGTACAATGTGTGAAGCCCATTTCTGGTGTTCCCTGCCATGATATTGCTGGAATATCGCTAAAAGCGGCGTAAAACCATACTCACTCACTCATTGATGATAACTTGAAAGTCTTTAGATCGCCATTTATCCTCCAATATCCAGTATCACGGTCACTTTTTGAGGAAACTATAAACAGTCAATATGGAACAGAAATAATTGATATTAGAAGATGGTCTCCACTGGTCGTGTTCCACATTGACCTGGGGGATTCTTATGGACATACATTAAAAAAGGCAATGTCTCAAAATTGGAAATTCTCTCTCAAAATGTTATGGTTTACATCTTCTCGAAAAGAAGTCATGCATGTATCATTAAACTTAGCATAAGCCTCAAGGATGGAATACTGCATTGAAAAGGCATAAGTCAAAATATGAAGTAGGTTATGGTCAGCATTGAGCTTTCTGTGAGACATATCATTGTTAGTTTCTGAGGCATGGCATATTTGCATGCATCTTTTATGATCCCACTTCATGTTGGTGCCATGTCTGTCAATGTAGTCATCTCTGAGGTTATTGTGAAACATGATTGTGTCATTTATTGTCGCTTACTGTTGAACCTTTCCTTGTACAACCTTCAGACTAGAGTGATTTAGGGATCTTATGAAGTTTCCTGATTAATGTCCAGTGCCCTGCTCCACATTGCGATTGTAGTGCTACCGACTGTCGTAAAATCTATGTTAAAGTATGGGAGTTATCATCATCTTAAGGCTATGATAGCTTTGAGGAACGGGGCCGAGGACTGGGAGTAATGACTATAGACAGGCAATAATAAATATATGGTGGTACATTAGGAATTTCAGCTGTGAGTGAGTGAGTGAGTTGGGTTTTACGCCGCTTTTAGCAATATTCCAGTAATATCACAGCTGGGGAAACCAGAGATGGGCATCACACATTTTACCCATGTGGAGAATTGAACCCGATCTACTGCATGACGAGCTTAACGCTTACCACTTGGCTACCCCCAATGTCCCATGTCAGCTTTGAGGAAAATTTGATGAAAATTTGGCACTGTGCTGTAAAAGCTAATTTCATCTGAAATCATGTTAAAATAAACAACATTAATAACATTGGAAAGCCAACTGGACACCGGTACAGTGTGATATACAAATTTGCTTGCCCGACAGAAAAAAACCACTGGACTCAGACGTCGGGCAATGGGTTATTTCCACCCCTGGGATTAATAATGCTTTAGTGCTTAGAACATGTAGAAGTACATTATTACATTGAATGCAAAGTCAAAATTAAATTCTTAATTTCTTGTTACACTGTACAAAGCTGTTTAGCATTTTGGCAACCAGTTTCATGTTACCATAGTTACTCGAGCTAAATATTTTTTGTTTAATGTTGTTGCTTAAATATTACTGTTAATTAGGGAAGGTTTAAAGTCCAGAATGTTGTTACTTTAAGTTTTGTTATCTTGTCTTTCATTCGCAAGTGGTCACACTCTGAATGAATCTTTTCTCTTCCAGCTCATCAGTATGATAATATTGAAGACCTATGATGAAATACAAGGAAACGCTTTAACAGAAAGCAATGACAACTGTATACTGTTGGGGGAAAGCCAGTGCTGGTCAACTTGGCCTTGGCGCTATTGACCATGCCTCCGTGGACACCCCAACACAACTACATAGCCTTGAAAGGAAGGACATCTGTGATATCAGCTGTGGAGACAATCATACCCTTGTCGGCTTCACTGATGGGACAGCTCACTCCTGTGGTGATAATGATTATGGACAGCTTGGCCATGAAAAGTCACGAACAAAACTAGGTAATACAGTTCAGCCTCTTTCTGTTTCCCCATCTCAGAAATTATCCTATATGGTCTCATTCATGACCAACTCGTGTTATTCCGGGACAAGCCGAATAGCGACTCGTGCCCCTCTGGAAGGATTTCATATTGGTGCATGAACATCAGAACTACTTAAAACAGGAACGATCACTCTATTCTTGTTTGATTCCAATGGTACTTTAATATTACCGAAGGACTCATTCATTGTATTGCTGTTTATGTTTTTAAAGAATTAAACATTTTTGATACAACTAAAAGAAGGAGAAAAAACGTATTGGTTTGATAATCACAAATGGGATTTGTTTTATTAAATATGTATATAAAATTTATAAAAGCTACATTAAATCCCAAAGCATAAACTCAAAAATGACTTTAAAATATTTCTCAAACTGAACATTCGTGTAACCTTGCTGTCATACCCAAGTGGAATTTTAAATGAATTCGGTGAAAAATATATGAATGACCTCAGACTAAAATATTCCCAGAGATGTGAAATATATGCCCAATGTTAAAGATTAAAGTTGATTAGTTACATGCAGATATACTGTAAACGTACTTATTTTTTAGGTGTGGTGCAATTTTATGGAATTGACAGTTTAGACTACATCGCTGTCAATTATTCTCACAAGCAATTAGTAATTGCCGGAACTGCCAGCTGTCTCTTTGGCCGCCACTAATAGCAGTGAAAACAAACAGAGTGGCTAAACCTGTCAGGTGTATGCTTTGTGCTTACTCACAGGAAATCCTCTATTCAGCGATATGCCGAGTACACAGTAATCCGCGACTACTCCGAGTGATGAAAAACACATCAGTCTTATGTTCGAATTCTGGACGACTTGTAATTAACTTATACTGTATATGAAGCTCTTTGTGATTTCAAACAAGCCGGGTTGTTGTGAATGAGATGATTAGTGTTAGTTTTAATGATGTACTGGTGAATAAAATCTTAATGAATAAATAAAATACTGTTGTATTATTTCTTTCGAGTCATTTCACACGGTAATCTGTTTTGTATCAAACCATCTGTCATGTGACCAATTTCCATGGCGCCATATGTCTATTATTGTTTTGAATAGCATCAACTCAGAGCGATTTATAATTACATTTCCTAAAATTGTTGGAAGCGCATCGTGACAATCTCCATAGCAAGCCCGCAAGATCGTCAGAAATACCCTCAGTTGGACCCATGAGAGCCGTTATGTCAACAAACGCATGCGTGTATTTGAATCTCTCACCATCAATCGCATGATTCTTATAAAAAACAATGGCATAATGCCATAAACGATTTAAGTGCTTGGGATTATTTTTACCAAAGCACTGCAGTCATTTACGCGATGTTCTGATTGGTTTGTCGTATTTTCGCACATAACAAGCATCGATAGGGAGACAAGTCTTCTTGGCGGTAACGGAAAGAGGCGCAGTGGTGACAAATGATATAGTCTGCTACCCTGTATAATGACAACACATGATGTAGCAATACCTTGAGATCCTTGGACACAATACATACCATTATAGTATCAATACGTCACTGCAATTTCAGCTAGGCTGCTTAGTTCACACTGTAATCTTACACCAGGTCAAAAGTTTAAGGTGCTGCAGCTTGCTATAATGAGTTTTGCTCCTTGGGGAATGTAAGAATCAACCTAATTTCTGCTCATTGGTCTGTTGGATATAATTCAGTTTGTTGTAGTGGTGGGAATCGGTTGAAATTTCATAATCGATTATCGGTTACTATTGGATTGTCCCATCCGATCAATGATTGATTGTGTAATCGGTTACACTGATTAAGAATTAAATATTTTTTACAACTTGTGCAATTCCCAGGTAAACATTTGAACTCTGTTACAAATACTGCAATGCTGTATATTTGTCATTTTTTTAATTATGTGATAGTGTGAGCATTAAATGAAATATATCAGCTTTTGTGGTTGGTTCTGTGAAAAACGTGACTTGAGGGTGCATCTACAAGAACCTAGAAACTCCTGAATATAATATTTTTCATAAGTTTTAATTGTCATTTGAGGCGTGTACAAAATCACAAACAACCCAAGTCTACATTGATCAACAAAAAATCTGTACAAAAATAAATATTGACAGGCAACCAAGATATATACTACCCATCAAACGTTTAGACTCACTTAAAGCACTCACTATGTGTTATGTATATATCTATGGTTACATTGAAGATGAATTTCTCCCCTAACTTGGGGGAACCAACTGCAGACCTTATGCAGATGAATTGCTTGAGGATCATGCATCAAATTGCTGAAAAGCATGTGCAAGTATCATGCATGTGAACAGCTGCGTTTTGGTGTAAAGTTTTGTTAAGAATTCAACAATTTTCACTGAGTTTCATCATTTATTGAACTCATGACAATAATCATTTCAATGTTACGAATTTGTTTTACAATACATCAGTTCATGTGTAAACAGTACCTCTAAACAGTATGGAATATTTTACAAAATCTAGTTTAGAACAGTTGACGGAAGTAAGTGGCTACATTTACACAAGTGAGTCTAAACCTTTGATGGGTAGTATAGAAAAGATGACTGTTCAATTCACTCTTTTACAGATTCTCCACAATCACAACAAATCCTCACAATTTAAAAAAAAATTTGACCCACTATTTACACTAATGTACCGTATATTACCATAGATAAGCCGAATTTTGAGGACCCAAAATAGCAGTCTGTAGAAGGGGGTTGGCTTATCTATGGTTTACACTTTCGTCAAACTTTTGTTCAGGGGGTAAGAAAACGACATCGTATCACTTTGCATGAACAAACAGACAAGAGAAGATGACTTTGCCAGTAAAGACTTCAAATTTGCAATTAAACATCACTAGACAAGATTATTTACCTTTTCAGTTCTAATTTGTTTTGCTAGGCATATTATTACTATTATATGCAGGGATTACGATTACGGTGTATATTTGTCTTGTATGTAAAGCCGATAATTAGCAATCAGCTGTGCACACGCTTCCTGGCGATCTAGTTCAAACATACCCAATAATATAACAGGATGAATTCTGACGCAGTGAACATCTAAAACTATTATTTTACCAAGAGAAATATGTCCTATCATTGCGTAATTTTACTTTTGCTCTATAAATGTAAAATATGTATAATTAATAATAAGGTTATATGGACCCTCACGAACATGGTAAGCTGAAGTTGTTCGCACTTGGATTGAGGTGAAATACACATGCCAGTTTGTTGTGATCGCCAGCTGCAATAAATACGTCATTTTGCAAAACAAAATATATATGTGTATCCATTTTCTGTCAACTACACTTCATTTTGAGGCGTGAGTAGACACAATATGATTGTGATTTCTGTGAATAAGCAGATAGAAGTTATGATTATTGGTAACTGCCAGTTATGTTGTGGTCTGAGTTGGGTATTCATTACTGTTTTCGTAAGAATTATTAGCGACAATCGATTATGAAATTTTGCTATCGATTATCGCATCGGAAAAGGGTAACCAATCAATTATCGATTATAATCGATCATTGGAACACCATTAGTTTGTTGGGACTTAAATGTTGTTTGTCACACAAAAGCAGAAAATGTCATTAGCCATCATCACATTTGGTTTCCTTGTGTCCCAAACTTCCAAAACTGATTCAAAAGGTTGAGACTTTTATGATAACACTGTCTCCCCTTTGATTCATCAGATTATCATTACAATCTGTAAAGAAGTTGTTATGTCTAAAGGGGATGAAAAGGTTGTCAAAAGCGTATCCCCATTCTTTCTTGACAACGATGCATGAGACTCTACACACTCTTTAAAATAAAAGAACTTGTTATCCATAAAGTTTGTCTATATTATGATTACTATACTTTGAAAGAAATTCACTGTGTCAGTTGCCCTTTGTATACTATTTTTTACACCTGATATTTGGTAGTAATAACATTGAACATGTTGATAAGGTATTTTTATCTGCTTCCAGAGCAAATCAATACCTTACGGTCACAACATGTGATAAGAGTGAAGGCGGGATCATCACACAGTATGGTGCTGACATCTGCCCATGAGGTTTTCACTATGGGAGATAACTCTCAGGGACAGCTTGGAAGAGGGAAAATTTCAGATGAAATGGCCCGTATGCCAAAGTAAGTTTCTGTTGCTAGGAAGTCTGATCACTATATTTCATGTTCTAAGCTTTAGGTGTCACCATTCAGTGACACATCAGTAATTCAGAATGTTTCTTTGGTGAAAGGAATTGTGAATAATGATTCAAGATTGAAAACATGCACTCACATGGTTTTGTGTGGACCACCATCTTGTTCTCTAAACCATGTTTTGGTTTGGGTTTGTGATCAGACATCCTTATTCAAGGCTCAGTTTTGATAATGAAAAACAATAATAATTGGAGGAATGTGATTGACATTAGTAAGGAGGACATTTTCTTTGAGTGACATTTTTATATTCTTTCAATACGTTCAGGGTGTCTTTGACATTGACACCATTTGGAGTGGTAAGTGTTTCAGGTTAATTTGCATCCCTGGCGACAGTGGTGACTGTAGCTAAGATACCACTGACTGATCCACTCAATCTCCCACACCATCATCCACATGCCCCCCACATGCATCCACTCACTCATCACTCTACCCACTCATCACTCAATCTCCCACCCACTCATCCACTCCCACTCATCACTCTCACTCATCTCCCACTCATAGTACTCGACTCCCACCCACTCATGCACTCAATCTCCCACCCACTCAATCCCATCTACTCAATCTCCCACCCACTCATCTCCTCCCACCCACTCATCTACTCAATCTCTCACCCTCTCAGGCGGTGGGGTAGCCACTAATGGTTAAAGCGTTACTCTCATCCACCCACTCAGACCCAATCTTCTACTCAATCTCCCACCCACTCCCACCTCCTACTCATCATACTACTACAATGTGTGAAGCCCATTCCCACCTCCACTCTTCACTCATGTGCCCTCCACCATGATGTTGCTGGAATATTGCTAAAAGCCACTCATGGCCCCCACCCACTCATACTAATCTCCAAACTCCTACTCAACTCTCCCACCCACTCATCTACTCAGTCTCCCACCTCATCCACTCAATCTCTTGCCACCCATTCACTCATTGACTCATTCACTCTCCACCCACTCTCCCCACCCACTCATCTACTCAATCTCCCACCCACTCATGCACTCCAATCTCCCACCCACTCATGCACTTAATCTCCCACCCACTCATCTACTCAAACTCCCACCCACTCATCTATCTCCTCAATCCCCACCCACTCATGCACCAAACTCCCACCCACTCATCCACTCAATCTCCTACCCACTCATGCACTCAAACTCCCACCCACTCATCTACTCAATCTCCCACCCATTCATCCACATGCCCACCCACTCATCCACACAATCTCCCACCCACTCATCCACATGCCCACCTTCTCATTCTCTTGCCACCTACGTATTCACTTGCCATTGACTCATTCACTTACCCACCCACTCTTCTTGCACACCCACTCGTCCCACTTGCCCACTCTCATCCACATGTCCGCTAGTGGTGTTCCAATTATTTGAAATAATCAAGATTTGTCGCAGTAACCAAACAACCAAGCTTATCGATCACATTTTCTCATAATCTAACACAAACGATTATGGAGCTACTGTTTTAGTGTTTGAAACACTTGACCATGGAATATATCTTAGAAGTTGTCAGGGCCTGAAAATATGTTTAATTCTTAGAAAACTTTCTTGACTGAATATTTTTTAAGACCCAGGAAGTTTATGTTCATGATATATAAGTCATCACTTTAAAGTAGCAAGCTGCATCATTGTTCATTGGATGTGAAGTTTGCAAATGCAATTTGCACAGTTTCTAAGTAAACCAGAAAACCAGCAGAGAATATTGTTATACTTATCTGCAATAATAACCTGAATAGGAACATCTGAAAAATGATGCTAGCTAATTTATTTCGATGATTGCTCATTGCTAGCTATGAACCAGTCATCAATTGTGAGATTTCAAACCAATTCCCAACTCTAATGTCCACCCATTCATCCACTTGCCCCACTCTCTTATCCTGTTGTCCACTCTGTCATCCACTGCCCACTCTCTTATCCACTTGCCCTCTCTGTCATCCACTTGCCCGCTTCTGTCATCCAAGCTTGCCCACTCTCTTATCCACTTGTCCACTCTGTCATCCACTTGCCCACTCTGCCATCCACTTGCCCACTCTTCTTATCCACTTGTCCACATCCACTTGCCCACTCCATCCACTTGCCCTCTCTCTTATCCACTTGGCCACTCTGTCATCCACTTGCCCACTCTCTTATCCACTTGCCCCTCTCTTATCCACTTGCCCACTCTCTCATCCACTTGCCCACTCTCTCATCCACTTGCCCACTCTCTTATCCACTTGCCAACACATTCCTTGTCCACATCCACATGCCCACCCACTCCCCCTTAAATCCTCTCATCCACTTGCCCACTCTCTTATCCACTTGCCCACTCTCTCATCCACTTGCCTACTCTCTCATCCACTTGCCAACTCTCATCCACTTGCCCACTCTCTTATCCACTTGCCCACTCTCTCCATCCAATCCCACTCTCTTATCCACTTGCCAACACATTGTCTTGTCCACATCCACATGCCCACCCATTCCTCCCAAATCCTCTCATCCCTTTGCCAGTGGTCTGTAGTATCCACTCTGCCCGACTTTCATACCACTTGCGTTAAAATATGGTACTTGTTGGTCCACTGCCTTATCCACTTGCCCGCTTAATGGGTACAACAAGGACTGAGTCATCCTCTTGCCCAGTATAATGTGTCTATCCACTTCATGCCCACTCTCATCATCCCTCAGTGGGCTAGCCTCTCATCCACTCTTGCCCACTCTCTGGGCTAGTACAAGCAGCTCACATCCACTTGCACAACACATTGCCATATGTCCACATCCAAGCACAACGCCCAATTTCACCTCACCTCACCTCAAATCCTCTCATCCACTTGCCCTCACATCTGCTCATCCGCAGACCCACCCACACACTCTTTCACACTAAATTTGCAAACTCATCCACTCACCCCCTCATCCACTTCTTTGTCTCAGGCTGGTCAAGTCCTTGGCAATTCACAGTGTGGTGCAGATCTCCTGTGGAAACAACCACTGTCTGGTTCTCACAGCAGGTCAGTGACTATCTATAGAATTATGTAGGAGCACAGCTCAAGGCTGAGCATTTTTGTAAGAGGCATTTTCTCAGTTTCACTCAGTCCAGAGTGGAATCAGTGTGGTTACTGAGAGGCTAAAGTATTTGCTTGTCATGCTGATGACCAAGGGTCGTGTCAACCCTGTGGGCCCCATTTCTGATGTCTTTCCCTACTGTGATATTGACCAAAACCAAACTCACTTCACTATTCTGACAGAGCATGGAACTAGAGTGATTGCAGACTGATTACCCCCATTTTGTTCAACTTTTTTGCATGGAAGTTTCAAATTTGTCATTCTTTCTCAGAAGAGATCCTCCTTGGGGTACTTATAAGCATTAAAATGTCCATTTTAAAATCCTATGACAGTTGTAACTATATTTTATAATAAAATATTTTCAAAACAAAATACACGTTTTGTCTTGTTCGCTACCACCCTTCAGGGCCCCTCCCAAATCCCCAACAGCCAGCCAAGAGTAGGTAACTCTAACCATCAATCTTATACCTTACTTTTTCATGCTGTTGTTCTCTGAGTAGTGAATGCGTGTGTGTGTTTGTTCAATGAACTCCTCCTTCGATTCCCCATTGTTTCCGTAATGACATGGCTCCGTAGCTTGGCAACATGGCAGCGACGGTGGGCGTGGTTTGGCGTGCACGCCTTAGGATGAGACCAATTCAGCAGGCGCTAGTGCAGCTGTGGTCCCAGTCAGAGAGCTACGAGAGGCTTTTTGAGAGGCCAGAGTGGTTACTCCCTCACTTACGGTTGTGGACAGACGGGATCCTATCCAGAGGGGCTCCCCCTGGAGACCCTGAAACCATCATTCTCAATGCAGATAGATGCATCCCTCACAGGCTGGCTCGGTGTTCTGGGCAACCTCACAGTATCGGGCCTTTGGTCGGAAAACGAGGTGGGCCTGCACATCAATGTGTTAGAATTGAGAGCAGTCCGGTTGGTGTTCGAACGCTTAGCAGGTTCGAATCCGCGTGGTGCGTCTAGAGATGGACAACCAGACGGCGATGACCTACATCCTGAAGCAAGGCGGTATGGTGTCTCCGTCTCTCCGTCAGGAGGCGTGGCAGTTTCTGCTTTGGTGTGACCAGTTCGACATGGAGTGATGCCTGTTTATGTCTCAGGGTTAGATGCAGATACTGTTTCATGACGTATACTAGCCCCTCGTGTTTGCTTGATCGGGGGATATTGGGGATTGTCTCCCGGTTGTGCGGATGGTCGCTCCAGGTGGATGTGTTTGCTTCTGGAGTGACCGAACCAGATACCAGTGTTTTGCTCCTGGATTCTGGATCCAAAGGCGATTGCCTCCGGCCTTCCAACTTCGAATGGACTTACAGGGTACTGTGGGCCTTCCTGCCGATACCGCTGATTCCAAGGTGTATCGCAGCTTGCCACCCAGCCACTGCGACTGCTTGTGCTACTTGCACCTTTTGGTTGGCTGAATTAATTTTCAGGTTTTGGCTCAGCTTCCTGTACTATTACCCCCTTTCGACCAGACCTTCTATCTCAGAACAGAGCCCCACTCAATCCCAGCATTCAGTGGGTGGCCTGGCCACTGTCCATAATAAGCCTCCAAACGCGGCGGAAGTCCTGCACCAATTGCAGACACAATTCTGGCTTCCGCGGAAGGATTCACGCTCATTATGAGGATAGATGGACCTGCTATCGCGCACTGGTGTGTTGGCAGGGGATTCTTGATCCCTTTCTCTGTATTGGAGTTCTTACAGTCTCAGTTAAAAGCCTGTTTTGCGCTTCAACTATTAGGGGTTACACCACGGCTATTTCAGCATTTCATATACCTGTCGATGGGGCTTTCTTGGCACAGCTTATGCATCATTTTCTAGCCGATGTGAACAGAATCCGTCTGGCTGTCCGGCTGATTAGCCCCCCGTGGGACTTGTCAATTTGGTTGTTCAGTCCTATGTCTCACAACTGTTGGCTCTTTCCCTCCAGCTGTTGAGTTGGAAGGCAACTTGTCTTGTGGCAGTAACGTCTGGTACACAGGTCGGCAACATTCATGCAATGTCAGCGGATCCTGAGCTGACTGTCTCTTACAAGGACAGGGTCAGCATTGGCTTACCAGATTCGTACCATCCTGAGATTGACTGCGCCTTCCAAGTAACTTTGAACTATTGAACTTCCTTCTCTATCTCAGCCTCTATCGTCCGGTACCTCTCTTCGATGTGCTCACGTCTTAGATGTCCGTGACTCTCAAGGCTTATATCAAGGCTTATTTGGAGCTGACCGAGCACGTTCATTCATCATTACCAACTTGACAGATACTCGCACGAGAGTGCTCCGTTCTCAGCACAGATCTTAGCACTGGACAGAGTCGTAACTCTATAGCCGATTGAGATTACAGTCTTTTTACACTATTGGGTGACAGGTTATCTCACTTCCCTTGTTGGTAAAGGTATGGTGGTGCCTTTTATCCTGCACTTCAATGGCTTTCAGCGATTGCTCGTTTGTCACTCATTGAAATTATCTCAGTACACTTTGCTGGCTGGGCCAATAGTCTAGTGGGAAATTTTGATTGAGTCCCCAATACTGTACTCTTCTGAAACAATGAATGGGAGGCAGGGTTTTTGAGTCGCATATTAGCATATCAGCTTATAAGCTTGGCATTTGTTCATCCCTACCTTAAGCCATGCCCCTGCCTGATTGACATCAGCGGTCAGGTGACAGGGTATGTGTGTTTTTTCTATCTCTGTTAGATTGAAGAATTCCACTTGTAGTTGGGTTGGTTTGCCAGACAGAATGCGCTCGACTCTCTATCTTTGGGAGTCTGTCTTACGCTTATATTGTTATAAGTACCCCAAGTAGGATCTCTTCTGAAAAGAATCGAACAAACCTGCAAAGGTTACTGATTCTATGAAGAGAGTCCTCCTTGAATGCTGCCACCCACCTCCCAACATTCTGTCTGATTAATTTCAGCATGAAGAGTGAGTTACGTGGTTGATGGTTTGAGTTACCTACTCTGGGCTGTTAGGCCCCGAGGGGCCCTGTAGGGGTGGCCAAACAAGACAAAAATGAGTGTTTTGTTTTGTAAATATTTCATTATGAAATATAGTTACAACTGTCGTAGGATTATAAAATGAACATTATAATACTTATAAATACCCCAAGGAGGACTCTCTTGAAAGGATCAGTAACCTATGCAGGTTTTTTTTTATGTTTTTACGACAGAGATAATGTCAACAGGCTGAGATTGTAAAGTTTTCTGTTGTTCATATGGTCTTATAAATGCCCCAAGTGAAATCATCACCTGCCTTGTGTCAAACATAGTTCAAGTGTAATTGACCCACGTTTGTCGAGTTTTGTCCATAACCATAATAATTACGGTGATTGGAGTAGCCAAGTGGTTAACTCGTTAAGCTTGTTATGCTAAAGACCTGGGTTTGATTCCCCACATGGGTATAATGTGTGAAACCAATTGCCGGCATTGATATTGCTGGAATATTGCTGAAAGCAGCGTAAAACTAAACTCACCCATGATAATTCTTGTCTTTTAAATACATGTTTTGCACTTTCAGTCATTTAATGCTTCCAATCCTAAAACCTCTTATGAATATCAACTGAAATATGTTACTGTTTCATCTTTCACAGAGGGTCTTGTGGGAGCATGGGGTGCCAACAACTACGGCCAGTTAGGTCTTGGTAACAACACTGTCCATCGAGACACACCAGAATTTCTAACCTGTCTTAAGGGTATCCCTATCGCTCAGGTAGTTGCAGTCGGAAACCACAGTTTTGTCCTCTCTAAGTCTGGCACTATGTTTGGCTGGGGAAGAAACAGGTAAAGTCAACCTATCTCTCACTAAAGTAAGAGACATCTCAAGCTGTCTGTTGTGTCCCAATCCATCATTGCTTAAAATAGGTTAATGATTTAATCATTTATCTGATAATCTGGAGCTGTCACATATTTTGTGGTATCAGAAATTAATAAAACTTGAGAAATATTGTTGTAGTTTTCAGTTACTCTGACATTTAATATGCTTAGACATCTGTACACTCAAGGAACACTTTTACAAGTTTGTACAAAATATGCAATGTTCTTCAAGTGGTGGAAAGGTTGATTGTGGTATTTGTGGTACTTGATAAATAATCAGCTTTTATTGGAAAGAGATCTGTATATTTTTTGCATTTATCAACAAATCTCACCATTATCACCAGATTTGGGTTTTTTGTGTGTTATGTATGACATATTAAAATTATTATTTGTTGCAGCTTTGGGCAGCTTGGGTTGAATGATGAAAGAGGTAAGAAAATAGTTATATATTTTCAAGAAATAGTAATTCGTAAGTGAATCTTGCACACCTGTTTACGCATAGTGGCCAAGAGAACATGATTCTGAAATTGACGTCCATGAGCATGTATATGTACACTTAAGTTGTGAAATGTTAATTTACTCAAACTAAAAGAAATGATCCTGTTCACTTTCAAATGAATAATGTGATTTGATGACATATTTTTGCTAACTAAGTTGATTGTTTCGTTCTTATTTATCTCCAAACCTAAAACATAAGCCCAACCCTCCACCAGACCACTGTTTATTGATTGGTTGATATCAGAGAGTGGGACTTTTTTTCTCCTTGATTGATTTTATTGATGTCACATTGTTGGCTAGTATTTTGTTCTTAATTATTAAATATGCATTCTGTGGAGTATTATTATTATCAACATGCAATTCCCTACATTCTGAATCCTACACACAGAGCTGAAAACGCATCACATCTCTACTAAAATAACCACTGCACAGCCCTCTCTGTCAATTCCTCCTTTTGCTACTGACTCAAGTTGTGGTTCAGAGTTATGTCAGTCCTTTGCAATTTGATGAGTGTCTTTAAAGAAAGACTGACTATTTTATGGGTTGTTGTTTTTTCAGATCGACCATTCCCAACTTTGTGCAAATCACTCCGATATCAGAAAATCAAATATGTATCTTGTGGGGAGGACCACACAGCTGCACTCACTCAGGTACTGGGGAACAAGGAGGTCACAGTACAGTCGGTTGATGTTTCACTGCAGTAGATTCAGATTATACTGGCGAGAACAGCATTGTTTATGATGTCAAAATTCATTATTTGTCACAATAATGTTTTAATCTGCGCACATGTATTACAGGTCGTAAGGTGGATTTAGCCAAAGTTCTAATAGAACTAACAGCCTAGTAGTTATCCAAAGGTGATAAAGGTGTTCGTTGGTTATATTTAAATCTGTGTGTTTTGACATTTTTCTGGTGATCCTTATCAAACTCCTTGATGAAACAGGTTGTTAGGGGGAAAATTACCTGATTGTTAGTGGAAAAATTACCTGGATGTTAGGGGGGAATTTTTCAAATTTACCTGTTTGTTACAGGGAAAATTACCTGTCTGTTAGGGGGAAAATTAACTGGATGGGGACAGTATTGCCTTTGCTTAAGTTCACTGGCAACTGCAACTCCTGTGCCCTGCACTGGACATTATACACTGAACACTGACTGACAAGTGAGTAAAGTCGTGGACTTATCATCAACAGACCATGTATATTGTGTTTCTATTCTTCAGGACGGTGGTGTATTTACATTTGGTGCTGGCAGCTACGGACAGCTGGGTCACATGTCCACCAACAATGAGATCCTTCCCAAGAAGGTGATGGAGCTCATGGGCACGGAGATCTCACAGATAGTCTGTGGCAGGTCAGAGATCCTTTATCACCCACAATCTAACATTTAATGCTTTTTCAGTGGTTGATAGTCTAGTAAATAAAGAAAACTGTTCCTTGTGTTGGTTGTTCCTTTTCTACGGTGAGCAAGTAAGATAGATCTATGGATATACTTCTTTATTACAACCTGTGAAGGTCCGGGTTATAATTGATCTTCAGCAACACATGCTTGTCCTAGAGGCAACTAACGGGATCGAGTGGTCAGGCTCGCTGGCTTGGTTGACAAATGTAATTGGTTCCCAATTGCGCAGATCGATGCTCATGCTGTTGATCACTGGATTGTCTGGTCCAGACTCAATTATTTACAGACTGATGCCATATAGCTGGAATATTGCTGAGTGTGGCGTAAAACTAAACTCACTGACTCACTTTATTACAATGTATTGGACATTCGGTGTAGATGCTAACGCCATTAACAAGTAGGTATCACAGCTTGATAACACTGTGTGCATCTTCACCGAAATGTCACATATACTGTAATAAATTTAAAAGACATTTGGATATTTATGACTTTGCCATCTGGTTATTTTAATGTCCACTTTTCTATTTCAGGAGGCATACCTTAGCATTAGCAGTGTTATCAGGCAGACTGTATAGTTTTGGACTTGGTGGCAATGGCCAGCTTGGACTTGGAAGCCATGATAACAGAACTAGCCCATGTGTAGTGACAGGTCCTTTAAAGTCACCTAGTGATTCTGTGCAAAATAATCAAGCATCTGTGATAATACATGTACTGAGGACTTTTTCTGGGAGTGATCATTGTTTTGTGATAGTAACTACAGAGGTAAGGGAAATCTATTTCTTCAATTTCTTAATTTTTCCTGCCTAACAAAGAGCACTTTCTTGTGTTCTTTTGACTGTGTAGTGGAAACAACAAAGTTTTCAGCCTCTCTTAACAGCATGCCCAAACATACCCCTGCGTCAGTTAGTGATATACCGCCGTTTCAACTAAGTCTTCATGGTCAAAAGAGAGAAAGTTCTCTACATGAGATAGTATAAGTATTATGAATACCCAATTTATAGTTTTAATTTTCAAAATTAATTTTTCGTGGTAAGTTGAGATTTTAAATACATTGTTGTCATGTGCACTGTGTCATTAAGTGTAGACAATGAACTTTTGAATGGTATCCCCTACTGAACCATGTCGTACAACAGGATGGATGTCGTCCAGCGGACTACAGGGACATAGACCCAGACACACAGATCCTCACCCTCAGTCCACAGAGAACTCAAGAAATTGCTCAACTCAAATCAGACGAAATGCCATCCATAGACTTGTCTGAGTATGTCACACACTATTACAAGCTAATTTTTGTTTTACATTAAATACAGCAATTGTCATAGTGCTTAGTGGGGCTGCAACAAATTCACTGTCTAAGTTAATATGATATGCATCACAAATAATATAAGGGTAATGCTATTTTTGAGGGCATTATCATTTGCAGAAGCCCTAGGTCTTCCATTAACTGCCCAATTTGAGGGCATTATCATTTGCAGAAGCCCTAGGTCTTCCATTAACTGCCCAATGAAGGAGGGCAGTTGAAAAAGACTGAGGGCTTCTGCAAATGATAATGCCCTCAAAAATAGCATTACCGTTATTATTGCTAAAATACATGGAATTTGTGTTGAAAAGAAAAAGGAAACAATGAAGGAATTTGACTGTAAGTTTACTCAAAACCAACTTCTGACGGGGTTGACTGACCGAATGCAATTACATCATCGAACAATTCAAGTGACGTCACAACAGAACGTGACGATATTTGTCCTTGGCTTTTGTTAAGACCATGGCCTGCAACATGTCAAACTATGTCAGACACAACGTCAGTTTTCAGTGTTCGGTTTTGGTCCAACAACAACGTTAATAGTGCAATTGTTAAGGTTAGCACCAGAAAGAAAGCCAATATTACCACTAAAGCGGGAATTCGGGTTGCTTTGACTTGTTTGCCCCAGAATATCTGCCAGTCCAAAGCCAATGTCGATTGAACCGTAAGCCAACGCACCCAGTATGACGTCACTTGACAACGTAACTGATAGTGGCCTGTCTTTAAGGTTGAGCGGTCCAATATCATTTGCAGCGGCCCGCACATTTCTGATAATAGGAGTACCGTTTCATGATAATTCCATGTATTTTAGCTATAATGGGTAATAAATACAATAACAAGTCAGTAATCGATGTATTATTCTGTTATCTTGTGACCACATTAGTGTTAAATTGAATATACAAGGGTGTTGACTATTATCATGCATGGCTTATATATATATTTCATTTTGCCAATCTTGCTTTGATAACACCCAAATTCAAGTTAAAACCCGCCTTTTCAAAAAATGAATATCAATTCTAGTGATCTTGAATAACAAATTAAGTTGATGAAGGGATAAGGTTCAACTCACCAAATACTCGAGTTAATCATAACAGCCCTAGTGCTTGTAATAATATTTGCCCATATAATGTCTAATAATCATTCCCTTGGTATCATATATATTATCATTATTAAATGATTAAGGTGGAGAATATATACTTCTTTGCCATGTCTTCTTTGATGGGCATTTTAGAAGTTGAGTTGATGAAGAATGATGACAATTTTTATGGATAATAAACTTCTTTTATTCTCTGAAGGGTGACATGCTTGACAACGACATTAGAATCTATGTCAAAATGTCACCCTTCACAGAATAAAAGAAGTTGTATATCCATAAAAATTGTCATCATTCATCTTTGCCATGCATAAAAATGTGTCATTAAAAGATACAAATGTTTTCTTCTTTTTCAGAGATGTCACAAAAATCTTCTCTCATGCGTCTTGTATAAATGGGTCATTCTTAGTTGAGTAAGTACAGAACTTTCAGTCTCATGCTACGGACCATTTATATTATACATGCTGGAAAAGATTATGATAATATCTAACATGCATACTTCATTCTACATGTAGTGTTAGGCGGAATATCCATAAATTCATTCAGCAAGTGGGGGATGGGGTAGCCTTATGGGTAAAGTGTTCGCTCATTTTATTCCCCATGGGTTCAATGTGTGAAGCCCATTTCTGGTGTTCCCTGCTGTGATATTGCTGGAATATTGCTAAAAGCAATGTAAAATTCACCCACTCATTCAGCAGGCCTAGATATTCAAATACTATTGGAGGAAACCTCAACTCTTATGATGCACGAGGTTTTTAACACTGGTTTCAGTCAATAGTCATCCTTTATTATACAGTGTTATTATATCTCCAGTTAAGATTGCCATGGTTTCCATATGGAGAGTCCTCATGCCACAGGCACTAATGCTACGGTATCTAGACAGGTGATTCACTGTCCCGATACAGCTGGATTATTGTTTACTGATAAATAAAGCATCATTCATTTACTCACCCACTAGATTGCCTACTTTTTAAATCAAAAACCTGTTAGACACAAATATCCAGGTACTGGGCTATGAACAGTCTTGTACATTACTGTATTGGTTTGTATTATTGTTTCAGACAAGACCTCCACTATGGCAGCAGCAGTCGCAACCCTGGTGTGGACATGCAGAGTGTCAGGCACCACCTCCATCAACTTGGACAGACATCCAACGTTATCATCATTCAGAGGGTGAGTCGCTTCAGGATCAGCCAGTTTCAATGTCAGGTTATTACTGGGTTATGGCAGGGGCTATTTAATTGTCCCCCGCTGCAACGTGGAACGAGGGACTATGTATTCAGCGGCGTCCGTACGTACATTTGTCCCCTACCGCAACACGGAACGGGGGACTATGTATTCAGCGGCGTCCTGTACGTACATACGTCCCAATTCTTGTTAACACAATATCTCATGAACTGTTGTACCCAATGTCTTCAAATTTGGTGACAGCCTACATTGGGTGATTACGCAGACACCAGTCGATTTGGGTGACCTTGGGTCACCACGACACTTTGACCACTTTTCAAACTCTTGTCAACGCGATATCTCATGAACTGTTGTACCCAATGTCTTCAAATTTGGTGACAGCCTACATTGGGTGATTACGCAGACACCAGACGATTTGGGTGACCTTGACCTTATTTTCAAGGTCACCACGATACTTTGACCACTTTTCAAACTCTTGTTAGCGTGATATCTCATGAACTGTTGTACCTAATGTCTTCAAATTTGGTGACAGCCTACATTAGGGGATTGCAAAGACACCAGACGATTTGGGTGACCTTGACCGTATTTTCAAGGTCACCACGACACTTTGACCACTTTTCAAACTCTTGTTAGCGTGATATCTCATGAACTGTTGTACCTAATGTCTTGAAATTTGGTGACAGCCTACATTGGGGGATTACGCAGACACCAGTTTATTTAGGTGACCTTGACCTTATTTTCAAGGTCACCACGACACTTTGACCACTTTTCAAACTCTTGTTAACGCGATATCTCATGAACTGTTGTACCCAATGTCTTGAAATTTGGTGACAGCCTACATTGGGTGATTATGCAGACACCAGTTTATTTGGGTGACCTTGACCTTATTTTCAAGGTCAACACGACACTTTGACCACTTTTCAAACTCTTGTTAACGTGATATCTCATGGACTGTTGTACCCAATGTCTTCAAATTTGGTGACAGTTTACATTGGGGTATTACACAGACACCAGTTTATTTGGGTGACCTTGACCTTATTTTCAAGGTCACCACGATACTTTGACCGCTTTTTAAAGGCGATATCTCATAAAACATTGCACCCAATGTTTTCAAGTATGTTGACGGCCTACATTGGGTGATTATGCAGACACCAGTCATTTCAGGCATCTTGTATGTGACCCAAAAATAAAAAGTAGTGAATATAGATATTCCATTTTTTAGCGGCGGGGGACATTGCCACATCAATGGCAAACACTTGTTTGTTTTAAAAGTATTGTAAGAGTACTGCCGTAGTTGTCAGTGGTGGTGTTCCGATTAATTGAAATAAACAAGATTGGTCGCAATGACGAAATGACCAAGCAATCGATCACATTTTCTCATAGTCGAATACTACTGTTTTAGTTATCCCCAGCTGTGCGTTTAGCTCGATGCAAGGGGTATAGTATTAGGCCCTGTCCGTACGTCTGTACGAATTGGAATGTCTTAAGAACCGTTGACTAGATTCTTTTCATATTTGGTACTTAGGTTCATCACGGTATAAGAAAGGTCCCAGTCAGGTTTGGTGACCTTGACCTTCATTTCAAGGTCACAAGGGGACTTTAACGTTACACTCTTGTCAGCCAGATATCTCAAGAACCGTTCACTAGATTTTCTTCATATTCAACACCAAGCTTTATCTAGGGAAGTCACAGGGCCCAGTCGATTTTGGTGACCTTCACGTAATTTTCAAGATCATGGCGACACTTTGAAGATTTCAGTATGTTAACCTGCATGTTAAGATGGTCAGCGAGTTATCTCAAGAACCATTCACTGGACTTTCTTCATATTTGACACCAAGCTTCATCTACGGAAAGTGCAAGGCCCAGTCGATATCGGTGACGTTCACCTAATTTCCATGGTCACAAAGAAACTTTGAAGATTTCAGCATGTTAACCTGCATGTTATGCTTGTCAGCGAGATACCTCAATAGTGTTCCCCCCAGGCACATTTAGGAGGGCGCTGCGCCCTGCCCCTTGATTGTTTCGCCCTGCCCTTTTTATTTTGTGCCCTGCCCTTTTCGCCTCAATCGCAGTTTTTTTTTCAGCTGTGCTTGATTTTACAACAACCCGTGTGTATTTTCCGGATTTTATTAAGGACGGAGTTCTCTCCCTTTCTAAGGGAGACGCAAAATTGTTTTGATAATGATTAGGAAATTGCCATTTAAACCATGGAAAGTCAAAGGTGTTTAATTCGCCTTACAAATCACAATGCCTACCAAGGAAAGAATCAAGAGGAAAAGAGAAGAAGCGGTGAAGGTTGAAGCAAGGAAGTGTCGCCGACTAATAGATTTCTTCGCTCCTAACAGGTATGTGCCTCTAAGTTTGTGATTTTTAGGCCGTTGATTTCCCTTTACATTTCACATGCCTTTCAAATAAAACTTTCATTTATTAAAGACAACGATGTGTGAACTACATGGGATGTATTTTGGTACGTTTGAGGGACCTTTATTCATGTGACTGTGCTGTTTAGGTGAAAATCTGAAACTCGAAAATGTCCGCCATTTTGAATCCATCGGCAATTTGAAATTGATCTTGAATTATTTTGTTGTTTGTCCTGGGAAATGAAATAGTTAAAACAGCTTGGATAACAGCTTAACATGGTATCCTTGTTTTTAGTGTTTAGTGTCGATTTCATAAGAAAGTAAGTCTTGAAGGAGTAAAACTATTTTACGATTTCAAACAATGGGAAGCCACACCCTTGTCGAAGCTCTCCACAGTAGATACTTACATTCAGGTGTATTGTTGTGTGATATTTTTGTTTTAATAATTATGATTGCAAATTTAATATCTAAGATTCTTTTTTATATATTCCTCCTTGGGGTACTTATAAGCATTTAAATGTCCATTTAAATTCCCTACGACAGTTGTAACAATATTTGAATAAAATATTTACAAAACAAAAACTACGTTTTGTCTTGTGAGACCACCCTTACAGGGCCTTCCGGCCCCCTACAGCCAAGAGCAGGTAACTCTAGACCGTAACCTCGTACCTCACTTTCCATGCTGTCGTTGTACCGACAAGACGTGGGTCCATACCAGAAGGTTTTTCCTTGCGACTAAGAGAGTTATGAGTGTTTCAGAAACGGCAACTGTATGTATGGTTCTCTTTTTTCCCGGCATGGGCGAATTGGAGGTGTTTTCTGAATTTTTTCATTCATAATTTCTCGTTGTAACTTGGTACCTGTCGCGGTCGGCTCGCTAGTGCGTGGCAAGATGGCGGACAGGTGCCTTCGCTAGCCTTCCTGTTCATTGGTTTCCCCTGTGGTTTTTCAATGTTACAGGTGGTTTTAGTGATTTTTTATTTGTATCTTTGTACGTGTAGGGCGTATGTCTACTGCTCGCATTTTCTATATTACGCTAAAAAAACCGTAATTGTTAGTTATGCTGCAGTATGTACTAGGTTGTCAACTGCATGCTACGTTGTCGCATTAGTTGTGTCGCCCATGCTTCTTTTTACATGTATTTGTATGTGGGTATAGGATTGCTGCACAGGTTTTTTACTTGTTGCAGTTTAAACCCTGTACTTCGTGCCTTGCTGCAATTCCCGTACGGGATACCCAATCTCAAAGACGCATACCTCCATGTTCCAATGCACCCCGAATTCAAGAAGTACCTCCGGTTCTCCTTCGACGGGACGTGCTACCAGTTTCGCGTGCTCCCCTTCGGCATCTCCACGGCGCCAAGGGTGTTCACCAAACTTATGCTAATCCCAGCTCAGTTAGCCAGGTCTCGGGGCAGGTGTTGTCACCCGTACCTGGACGATTGGCTTCTACGGGCCTTAGGGCCTCAGTTAAGCAGAGCCTCCACACTGTGCGTGCTGGATACTCTGGTGTCACTGGGCTGGATTATCAATCTCAAGAAATCAGACCTGCGTCCGGCCGCAGGATCTGATATTCTTGGGAGCCAGATTCAACACGGCGCTAGGGATTGTTTCCCTTGCTCCGGACGCATCGTCCAAAGTCCGGGGACTGTGTTACAGTTCCTCCAGTACCCCGTTAAGGCCGGCCCGAACATGGCTTCGCTGCTTTCGGCAACATGGCGGCGACAGTGGACGTTGTTTGGCGTCGCGGCGTTGAGGATCGCGACCAATTCAGCAAGCATTAGCTCAGCTGTGGTCCCACTCGCAGGGCTACGAGATTATGCTCATAACGCCAGAGTGGTTAATCCCTCACTTGCGATGGTGGACGGACGTCGGGAATTTGTCCAGGGGGATCCCCCTCGACACCCCGACACCTTCCCTCTCAGTTCAGACGGACGCCTCCCTCACAGGTTGGGGGGGGGTCCTGGGCGAGCACTCAGCCTCCGGCCTCTGGTCGGAGCGGGAGGTCAGCCTACACATCAATGTGTTAGAACTGAGAGCAGTCCGCAGGGTGTTCGAGTGCTTCAGGGTGTTGGTGCAGGGCCGTGTGGTTCGTCTAGAAATGGACAATCAAACGGCCATGTCTTACATTCTCAAGCAAGGCGGCACAGTGTCTCCGTCGCTCCTTCAGGAGGCGTGGCAGTTTCTACTGTGGTGCGATCAGTTCAACATTCGGGTTTTGCCTGTTTATCTCCCGGGGGTAGACAACGTCCGTGCAGATGCTCTCTCACGGCGTATACTAGCCCCACACGAGTGGATGCTCGACCGGGAGATATTCGGGATTATCTCCCAGTTGTTCGGATCGTTTCCAGGTGGATCTGTTTTGCGCCTGGGGTGACGAACCAGATTCCTGTGTTTTGCTCCCGGATTCGGATCCGGTGCGCGTTAAACGACCTTTCAGCTAGATTGGACGGACAGGGTACTGTGGGCGTTCCCCGATACCACTGATTTCCAGGGTCCTGTCGCGCTGACCGCACAACCAGCTCGCTACTTGTGCTTCTGGCACCCCTTTGGTCGGCACAAAGCTGGTTTCCGGTAATTCTCAGGTTTCTGGCTCAGCCTCCTGTTCTATTACCTTTTCGACCCG